TCATGTGCCTGTCTCATCGTTGATGCATTCAATGACAAATGACTAAGCAGGAGCCATACACCTTGGTATTGTCAAGGTGCTGTCAAAACTATGGTTTTGCCAAGAATAATAAAGGAGAGTTAAGATCCTCCTTTCTTCTTTTCAAATGGCCAGTACACTCTGACTACTAGCATAGAAAGGATAAGACTCCCACAAATATAGGCATCCCCTTCCTTTCTGTCATTGAAGAAATAAGGGAGATGAACATGAGACAGAGTCCTTTGTTTGGCTCTTGAGATTGAAACTCCTACCCCGCCACAGATACCACAGTGTAAGTAACTGTGTGTCATGCTCTTACTTCTGCATGAGCTGTGTTTAGTGCCTTATTTCTCACAGAAGACCTAGCGACATAGACTAGGCTTTCCTATTGTACACATGGAGCACTTGCAGCACAGGATGCTGAAGCATGGAGACAATAATCTTGCCCAAGGCCACACTGCTGGGTAACAGATGAGCCAGGATACTGCTACATCCTCTTGACACCTCCCCCACCTTGTCTTTCACCTAACTCCCTAGCAACAGTTCTAGGATTAAGATGTAGGCAGGTTTTTGTTTCTTGATTTTACTATTGTTGTTGTTGTTGTTGTTATTCTTAGTATTATTTGGGCTAGTTCTAACCAGGCCTTATACTCAAGTGTTAGAATAGATCAGCTCTAGAAGTAAGTAGAAAATAAAATTTTGTACACATCACATTGTAAAGAGGCCATCTTGAAGACTGGATTTATCATTCAGCTTTTGAGAATTCAGTAGAGTAAGATCTCAAAGCTATATTACAGAAGATATATTACAGAAGATATATTATAGAAGTCACCTAATAAAAGTCATGAAACTTTTGGGGGTCCCAGATCCCCATTATTTTTTAGAGATAGATTTGTTCTCAAATACGCAGTCTATGTACATAGACGGCTAGGAGGATATCATGTGCCTGTCTCATCGTTGATGCATTCAATGACAAATGACTAAGCAGGAGCCATACACCTTGGTATTGTCAAGGTGCTGTCAAAACTATGGTAGACAAATAGAGTGTGCCTGTGCCTTGTGGAGTTAGGAAATGTGGGAGGTTGTCAATAATTAGTCATATAAACAGTTGACAGTTACAAGTTGTATCCTGAGAGGTACCATGTAGTAGCACCAAAGAAATGATCTAGGGGTCATAAAAGCTTAGTGATAAAATGGTGTTGGCGCTCAGAAGTGCAGATGGGTGAATTCGTGTTAACTAGGCTATGTGCACATGTGTGCTTCCAGAGATAAGTGGGTAGACAGTAGAATTAAATAATCTTGAAGATTAGGGATCTTAGCTCATTCCTAGCAATGAGAAAAGGTATGAAGTCCACAGAGAGCAGAGAAATCGTTTCTTAAAGTGGATCGTAGGAGCCTTGCAAGGTGTTGTTGGGGTTTTTTAAAGCATAGATTAATAAAAAAAAAGTAATGACATGCCATTATAAACCAAAGCACAACAAGTCATAAAGTATTTGCTGACCCGTTCCATTGAATTTTCTGCTTGAAACAGTGTTATTTCACCACTTATATAGATGATCAGCTTCAAAACAATGTGATTTTTCTGTTTGAGGACCAAGAAAATACACACAAGAGAAAGTATTCACCACCATAAAAAGCTGGCATTTCCTCAGGGCATGAGGGTCTTGGTGACACACCACTGCCTTTGCTTTATTTCTTTTTTGTCAGAAGCATGATTCATCTGTGTGAGACGTCTCCCACAAGGGGCTCACTGGGTCTCTGCTGTCTTCTCTTTCAGATCTGCGTGGTGATTGCTGCCGTGTTCGGGATTGTCATTTACCGGGTGGTGACTGTCAGCACTTTCGCTGCCTTTAAGTGGGCATTAATCAGGAATAACTCTCAGGTCGCAACCACGGGGACGGCCGTGTGTATCAATTTTTGTATCATTATGTTGCTGAACGTGGTAAGTGAGCTGGAGGGTAACTAGCCAAAAGGGTGGAAGTATGTAGGCTGCCCTGATACTTCTCTTTCTGCTGCTAGAAAGACCCTAGGGTAAAGGGCTGGCATGAAGGTGTACTCCAGCCTGGGGTTTAAAAGACTTTATTCAAATCTAGGCTCCAGGCTCATCTGCAAAGCACTGACCCTCTCTGAATCTTAGTTTCCTGGTGTATCCAGCAAAGTAACATTGGACTTCCTTTTAGGGTAACATGGATTAAGAATGTACTCAGGGGTTGGGATATAGCTCAGTGAAAACATCCTGGGTTCAATCTCCAGTAAAAAAAAGAAAAGACAAAAATAAACGTTTTTAAACAAAACAAAAGAATGTGCTTAGAGGCCCCAGCTCCAATAACTAAGCAATGTTGATGTCTGTTCTGTATCCAAAAGCCTGCCTTAAAATAATCCTGATGGACCTGGTGGGAAAATACCAGAATAATACACATTGCCTGGGCTGATTTCAGATCTTTTTTTTTTTGCAATTGCATATTTCAAATTCACATGTGGATTTTTTGCAATTGTGTATTTCATCCTCACACGTAGAACTGCCTATTTGATAATCTCCAGCCCTGTCCAACCTAACTCCCCTCCTCCCTTCAAAATCAGCTGCTCCTGCAGTTCTCTTTTGTAGTGGTTCAGGCTAAAAACATCTCCATTCTCTCTTTCACTGTATCTCTCCATTAAAAATGAATCTAGAATGTGGCCACTTTTCACACATCACCAACTTCCCACTCTTGTCCAAGTCCCCAACATCTCCTACCAGGGTGATTGCAGTGGCTTCCTAACTGCTCTCCCCCATCTCCAGGTTGGTTCCCCTCAATCTAGACTCGATGCAGGGACCAGACAGAGCATACTCCATGGATAGCCAGCATTTCATCTCCAGCTGTTCACAAGGTCCTGTGGCTTTCCTCTCTTCCTTAGAGTCCCTGCCTTTACAAGGGCCTTACAGACTCTCCCTCAACTGTCCCCTGAAGCATTTTTTGACATTGCCTCTCTCCCTTATCCTGATTCACCCGCCCAGCCATCAGGCATGCTTTCACTCAAGGACATTTTTTCCTTGCTGTATTCTCTGGGACACCCTCCCTTCTTTGTGGCCTCCTTCACCTCACCTGCTGTCTGACCATTGCCTACCTCTTTGCCTGTTTTGTCATTTTTCCATAGCACCATCTACTGTGCTATTTTCCTGATCTTAGGATCTGTCTTCTCCATTGGAATGTAGACCTAGATGCACAGAACCTTTGTTCTGTCTTATTTTCCTTTCAACTGCTATTATTCCCTAAAGCCTGGAGCAGGAACTGACTCAAGAATAGGCTCTTAGCAACTTTTTGTGGTTACAACAATTTTGTCATAGAATGAAAACAGTAATGAGTGACAAGGTTAGACTCCAAGATCAAACATGACCTTAGAGGTAGATAGTAGGAGATAGTGATAAAATGTTAGGTAGGGACTAGATGTTCAATTAGCCATAGTTCTTCTCTTCCCTTATTTATATCTATCTTAAGTCTGAGCCAGTGTGCTGCGATGTTCATAGCATTACAAGACTAGGACTTTCTAAAGAACAAGTCAGTTAATACTCCTATCAATACAGTAGTTTTACGTGTTTAGATTGTCATGTCTTACCCCTTCAATCCTGAACTCCAGTAAAACCCTGTGTTTCCCAAGATAATTCAACCTACCCCACAACAAAAGACTTTAAGTTATGATTCTTAGGTAAGCTAGTAATCACTATACTAATGAAAATATGGGTGATAAACACAGAGGGACTTTTTATTACTTTAGAAAAAAAAGGTTTCAGAATTCAAAATTGTAAAAAAAAAATGAGAGAGGAAGGGGGAGAGAAGGAAAGAGAGAAGAGAGCAATTGCTAATCGTGATGGGACTATTATGATGGGGTATCTACTTGGCCATGTGAAGATTGAAATGGATGTCTGGCACTGCCTGGCTCTCTACCCTCCCTTCAATATGGTCTTCATGTTAGTTGTGGAATACACAGAAAGAAGTGTAGTGATTCATATGAAAATGAAGCTCATACCTTTAATTCCAGCTACACAGAAGGCTTATATCTGGAAGTTAATGGTTTGAAGGCAACATAGGCAGAAAAATCTCAGAGACTCTTATCTCCAAATAGCCAGCAAAATTCTATAGCTCAAGTGGTTATAATACCACCCATGAGCTAAAACGAAACAAAACAAACAACAAAAACACTAAGCAAGAACTCAAAGCCCAGAACGCAAGGAAAAAACAAAACAGCCAGAGGCTTGAAAAATTCTATCCAAATAGTATGGTGTGCAGTAAATTCCTGCTTACTATATTTTTATTATCTTTTTCTGCTGAAATTTAATTTCAGGCTGGAGATGTATCCGAGTAGTAGAGTTCCTGTTGAACATGTACAAAGCCCTGGTATTTGATCCCCAGCACCACTCCTACCACTACCACTACTACTAAGAAGAAGAAGAATATTTTAATTTATACATGTTTTGAGGAAACAAATGTGTGTGAATTCAGCGGTTTTACAACTGTGTGTCCGTCCATGCATATTAAGCAGGGACTGATGAAGACAGTGTGATACTAGAATCCACTGCTCTGGCAATTTACTTTAAAAGACCCAGACAAGAAAAGATGAAGTCAACTGACATGAAGTGGGGAGCCTTACAGAATACCTGCTACATGCTGAGAGCTAGATGCCTGGATATTTTATATATTTTACCAAAAAAAACTTGAGAGTAGCTAAAATGGATGATGTGGAGTTCATCACTCCAGCTAAAGTGTATTATTTGTAGGAATCCCCTTTGGGGTAGATTTTCATTCTAAATACATTATGAACACCTTTGATTGATTTCCCAGCCAAGATCAAACTAGAATAAGATTCCAAAGTCAAGACTACTGACAAGACCAGAAAATGACAAGTCATAGCTGGGAAAGAAAGAAAGAAAAAAATCATTAAAACCAACCAACCAAAACAACAACAACAACAAAGCAGCATTAGCCAGAACTCTTCTGTGCAGGACTCAGTTGCTCTGCCATCCTGGACCCTCTCTCAATAATATTCCTATCCCAGCACTCACATTTATGGTCCTGTCCTATGCTCTGAGGCTGCCAGAGTTACATTATGAGGATGACCAAGTACGTAATATAGTTTGGAACCATTTTCATCAGAACATAAATAACAATTTATACTTAGAAAATAGCAGCAACACAGATGGTAGATGAGTATAATGCAGCTTTGAACAGCTCAGAACTAAAATCTCCACTCATGACCCAGTAATATAGATTTATTTTTATAGTTATCTAATTGTTTTATAGCTACTTAGAACTTGGAGCAATAAGGGTTTTAAAAGTTAACCAGTATCAACATTTAGACTTGAATTATTAATACTTTTAAATTAACTAAATATATCCATGAAGGAAAGTAAAAGTTATTACCCTCTCTTTTATTCAGTGATGCCGATATGAATCAGGCAGTTTCATTACATAGTAAACAGTGAGACTACAGTCTTGTTCCAAAAATAAAAATCCAGAAAATGTCACTTATAGCATAATGAGCTCACATATATTGAAATGTAAAAAGATCCAACTATAAGTTGCTTATTAAAAACACTATTCTTCTATTAGGACATGGTAGGCTGTAAGTTTAGGAAAAAAATAAGATATTTAAGGTAAATAGAATCCAAAAGAAATCAGAAGTAGCCATACTTATATCAGATAAAGCAGAGTTTAAATTAAAAGCAATAAAAACTAACAAGGAACATCATTATAGAATGATGAAGGGTTCAATTTAGCAAGAGAAAAAGGGAAGAATTTGTTGTATCAAGTTTGGAAATTAAGATTTTTGGAGGGCCTAGCCTTATCAGAACTAACCATCCTGGTTTCTATCTCAATTGCCTGATGAGGACTTGATCCTTTTTCATAAACCAATCATGTGAGAACCCCATTTGTGTGCAAACACATCCTGACCAAAGTCCCTCTGTCCTTGTGTTTACATCTTCAATATCTGGATACATAAATAGTCACTCATGCCAATGGCTCTCTTATATTCCTTCTTTTCAGACTGATGTCCATTATCTATCCCATATTGACTTCCACATACTGTCCTTTTTCTAAATGCCAGTTTTTCCAATGTGCCTACCCGAGCAACAATAGCATACCATCAACCCTCTTAAGGCCTTGAGACAAGTGTGCAAATTCAGCCACTTCAACAAGTGCATGGCCACACAGCAAAAGTCTTTCTTTTTTTTCTTTCTTTTTTTTTTTTTTGCCAGTCATGGGGCTTGAATGCAGGACCTGGGTACTGTCCCTGAGCTTCTTTGTGCTCAAGTCTAGCACTCTACCACTTGAACTACAGCACCACTTCCAGCCTTTTCTGACTAGTTTATTGGAGATGCGATTCTCACAGACTTGCCTGCCCTGACTGGCTTTGAACCATGATCCTCAGATCTCAGCCTCCCTGAGTAGTGAAGATTACAAGAGTGAGTGACTAGCGACCAGCCAGAAATCTTACTTTTATAAAGATTATCTCACCAGTTAGATCAAATGTTCCCTGATAATTATGTAATTAATGTGAATTATACAAAGTCACTGTTATATTAAAATACAATTGCAGTTTTTATGGCCAAATGAGTATGAGTAATATCTTCTACCGAGTTTATTGCTGAAAATCATACCAATCTTTTCAACTCTCTTGGGCTCCAAAAGTTTCAAGTTTCTAGGCACTAAATTTGATCTTATGTCAATATTAAGCATATCATCATTTAGAAGAGTATATACCTTAATATAGAAAATAGTCATTGCTAGTAGCAGGGTATAAAATTAAACCTCAAAAATCAATGGCTTTTCTGTATGCCAACAATGAGAAAAGTGTGACTGAACCATCTTCACAGGCTCCTGCTGTGCATTCCTTTACCTCCATTTTCCCTTCCAACTACTGCTTCTCCTAAAACCCTCAGAACCAGATGTGAAGACAACCATCTTAAGAG